TTATGATAAATTAGAAGAAGTGGATAAGTTTAGCAATCAAAAGCTGAAGTACTACGTAAAACCCACTACTCACATTTTAGTGCGGTAGGGTTCAATATGTAATAGCTAGATTGAATAAAATGATAAATCAGTAGAGCATAAATTTCATTTCTTTGCACAATCACTGAGGGCAATAACTAGAGGTACTGTTTAATATAAGCAGTTGAGCGATTCCTAACATGAGCGAGAAATCCCAAAATTTTCACTTTAAGTTTTTGAATTTTTATAAACTGATGGCACTATTGACAGCAGTGCGCATAAGCTGCCCTAGCTTCATTCAAATCATTAAACCGAAAAAATTTATACGGTTTTTCCATCTTCAGTTTTATGATTTGAGTTGAATAAGTTCTAAAACTCACGATTTATTAGCACAACAGCCCTGTTGATGCAATGAGACGCAGATCCTTCCTGGAAACGACCGATGGAATGATGTGAAGCGTCTGAAATAGCGTAATCAGATGACGTGAACAGTCGATAAACAAACGATCAAAGCAGAAATTTGAGCTGCTGATACGGTTTGGAGAGAATGGAAAAGCAATAAAAAATCTCGAGTCATGGCAGAAAAACAGCAAAACATGGGGCTAATCTGGGAAAGAAATTATTTTTCAGTGATAAGTTAGTGGGTTTTTGAAAACATAACACCATTGCATACATAGGGCTTAGGACTTAGATTCGATCTAGAGGGAGCTGGGGATACAATGATATACATGCGGGGAAATGATCCTCTATGTATTATTAGTGTTTAAGGGATTTTCACTTCTATGGTGCCTTAAACAACTCAAATGTTGTTAAAAAACTGCAGTGATCACCTATGAATTATTTTAAATAATGCCCTGCATTTAATAAAAATGAGATAATTAAAAGCCAGCATTAAATATAATTGCTCTGTGACGCTCTGAAGCAGCGTCCTATGAGTAAATCATTTTAAATTGACCTTCTCTAGTTTTGGGTACTTTTTGTCCTGATGCGAATGCTGAAATTGAAATAGAGTATTTGAGATACCTAATGATCTATGCATAGCTGTAAGTAAACTGATGAAGAAGCTTGATAAATTCGAGTTTAAGATGTTAACAACAAATTATTTGAGAGTGATCGGCAGAAACGGCAATAGGTCACTCGGAAGACTAGACAACGCGAGAAGATGTAACTCCCCACACATTCTGAGATTTGGCAATGAATGACCGGGAGGAGGAGTTGTCTATAGGCAAGATCACTGGAATTTTATACATTTCAAGGAAAGTTCAAAGAAAGTAGGCGTGTCTAAAACGCTCAGCTGGCGATTTGGAAAGAACTTTTTTCCCCAGAGTTCGACATAAATATCCCTTTGGAACATGGTTCACTTTAATAAAATGTTTTAGCAACGCACAGTTACAAATAGGTTAGTGACTTCTGTAGATGACGATTGTAGTATTGTTTTACTGATAATGACACATCAACAGTTTTATGGGGAACACTATCATATAATGGGGAAGAAGACAAGTAATCAGATAGTTTAGAAGTTAACCAGAACGTTTAGAAGTTAACCAGATCGTTTAGAAGTGAATCACTGAGAAACTATGTTGAGTCTGACCATAT